GGCTGGTTCCGCCCTATTCTCGGCCGCGACCCTTACAACAAGAAGAACGTCGACGAGTCACAGAAGGCCGCTCTCAAGGCTGTTCACGTCATTGAGGAGCACCTTCTTACACACACCTACCTTGTTGGTGAGCGTCTGACTCTTGCCGACATCTTCGCTGCCAGCATCCTTGCCCGCGGCTTCCAGTACTTCTTCGACAAGCAGTGGCGCGACTCCAACCCCAACACTACCCGTTGGTACGAGACCGTCTACAACCAGTCCAGCTACTCTGCTGTCGCCCCCAAGCTTGAGTTCATCTCCGAGGCATTGAAGAACGTTGCACCAAAGAAGGAGGGTGGTGAGAAGAAGAAGGAGCAGCCCAAGGCCGCCCCCAAGCCCAAGCAAGAGGAGGCTGAAGAGGAGGAGGCCCCACCTGCCCCCAAGCCCAAGCACCCTCTCGAGGCCCTTCCCAGGGCTACATTCGTCCTTGACGACTGGAAGCGCAAGTACTCCAACGAGGAGACTCGTGAGGTTGCCCTCCCCTGGTTCTGGGAGAACGCCAACTTCGAGGAGTACTCCATCTACAAGGTTGACTACAAGTACAACGATGAGTTGACCATGACCTTCATGACCGCCAACTTGATTGGTAAGTTGACTTGTCCTGGTTGTAAATGATCTACTTGCTAATTGATTCAGGTGGTTTCTTCACTCGTCTCGAGGCCAGCCGCAAGTACCTCTTCGGCTGCTGCTCCGTATACGGAGTAACCAACGACTCCGTTGTCACCGGTGCGTTCGTCGTCCGTGGCCAGGAGGCTCTCCCCGCCTTCGACGTCGCTCCCGATGTCGAGAGCTACGAGTTCACCAAGCTCGACCCCACCAAGCCCGAGGACAAGGAGTTCGTCAACGACCAGTGGTCGTGGGACAAGCCCATCGAGGTCAACGGTAAGACCTACGAGTGGGCCGACGGCAAGGTGTTCAAGTAAACGCTTCGCTTTCTTTCTGAAGTGGTTGCTTTGATTTATGATGCGGATGATTTACGAACTGGCATGGGTAGGGATAGGATGACGGATGAGGATTCATGAGATCACGCTGGGCAGCCCTTGGTGGATCAGCGATACTGCCATGGCCCGTTAGAGGCTCAAAATGCTGCACAAGAAGTTCATGATACCCAACACATATTTTTGCCTTCATGCTGTGATGCCCTTTGTGCGTCTACTTTGCTGTCTCGTATGCTAGACCAACATGCATGTGACGTCTTCTTCCACACAGGTGCCTTGTTGATTGCGCACTCAACAAAAGCTGGGAAATTGGTCTACCATGACACTGCGTTGCCTAGAAGCTGTCAGGTGTTCGCCAAACCCCAGATCTGGGCTCGGCCTGGGCGGGGCCAACAACAGTCGTAGCTTATCGAACCGAGCCTATCATTGGTTGAGAGGGGGACAAGGGAAGTAGCTCTAGCCAACCGCCGAAGCGGTCGAGAGCAAAGGCTGGACAAGACAGACGGCGCAGGCGGCGCGCATAAGGTGACATGCATGGCCTTTGTTCCTCGAGTCCTCGATTTCCATCTTCTTGATCTTTGCGACCACAGGCGCCGAAAGTTACGGTGCTGCAGCGGTACTAATACGGTGACATTTCGCATCGCAGCGCACAGCCGCGCTGCAGCTGCTACATCCGATCGGGGCAAATCTCCTACCTTGGAAGGAACAAGCAGCGCGTTCGTTCTGTCGTCATACCTGCAACAACAAACCGAGATCGCGTGCACACATTTTCTTTTTTTGTCGCGCAAGGAGAGAAAGATCTGGAGACGGGACCCGAAGACTAAGGCGACGCAATCGTTGCTCAGGGAAGTCCGGCCTCCTGCGTCGACTGTTGGTGGATCGGAATCCGGACGAACGAAGGAACGGACAGCCACATCATCTGTCGTTCACGCCGTGTAACGTAACGATTTCCGCTACGGGGACCTGGGAGCTCTAGCGACGAGAGGAGAGAGTTGTTCGCCTTTTAAAGAATTGTTGCTGCTGCGCCGAAGAGAAATAGATATTGTTGCTTCCTCTAGGCGCCAACAGCAAATCGTGAGAAGAACACGTGAGATTGGACTGCGGAAGTGGCCTTGTTAAAGAGTGAGGATATTAGACGTCTCGTAACTGAGATAAGTTTCCTGCGATCGTTGCTTTGGGGCTTGCAGGTCTACGGACGAGGTTGCGAAAAGACGAGACTGGAAACATCTGACAAGAGAGCTGGAAGAAAAGAAGAGCAGGAACGCTAAGGGGATGAAAGAGGATAGTGGGAGAGTGGTGAGGAGGTCTTCTGGAAATGCAGGAGAACCCGCGATTCAAGTGATTTGTTTGGTAAGTGGTGCTTGTGTTTGTGGTTATTGATGTGTCTAGGTGCATAGTCATGTACTTTACATGGGATGTCCTAATTTATACAGCCTGACGGCCACTTATCTATCTAGCCATCAAAGCTAATACTAACAGGGCTCTGGAGGTGGACCAAGCGAAGACAATGTCACAGGCTTCCTCGTCCGATCGACCGCAACGAACTGGGCGAAAAATTCCGTCATAGCCGTAGATGCAGGCTCCCATCTTGCATCAATAACCCGAATACTTGGGAGGGATTTTCCACTCGTCTCTGACCCAGATCCATCATTACCGACCTCGCGGGCTAACAATGGCAATGGAAATGTAATTGACCTCCACACTGAGTCGCCGTCACCAGGCACCGCGCATGTCTCACTCTCCGATGATGACTCTGGGGCTGAGACACCGGATTCTGAGCACGAATTACCAGTTACGATCACCACATTGCAAAACGGTGCATTCGCGGGTTTGCCTTTTCCTCATCAGAGCGCTAGAGCAAATGCGCTTCACGTTGTCAGGGAGCATATTTCGACATACCTCATCACCCATCCACATCTGGACCATGTGTCAGGCTTCGTCATCAATACAGCAGCTTTTCATAATACATCACGACCCAAGCGACTAGCAGCGCTACCGTTCACTGTCAACGCCATCAAGAACCACATCTTTAATAACATCATTTGGCCTAACCTTACCGACGAAGATGGAGGGGTGGGTCTTGTGACATTCCAGCGGCTTGCAGAAGGCGGTAACATTGCCCTGGGTGAAGGAAGTTCAAGAGGGTACATCGAGGTGTGTGATGGTCTTGGGGTCAAAGGCTTCAAAGTAAGTCATGGTCACTGCATGCAAGGCCCGGGCCATGTACACCGCGGATCAAACGCCAATCTACTGGAGACATCAAGTTTACAGCACTCAAATACTTCTCAGCCGTACGGACAATCAGACGGCCAAGAAGGTCGCTCGATGAGCTTCTCTGTAGCAACGCAAAGCGCACCCGGCACTCCCGGTTTTAACAGCAGCACAGAGGCCGGTCGACGAGCCAGTGGGGTTACGGTCTCCCAGCCCCAGCAAATGATATCCCAAGATCACTGTGTAATTGATTCAACCGCCTACTTTATCCGCGCAGAGTCCACTCTCACGACCCCGAAACGCGAAATCCTTATTTTCGGAGATGTTGAACCAGATTCTCTTTCTCTTTCGCCTCGCACTCATCAGATCTGGAGCGAAGCAGCTCCCAAGATCGCCGCCGGTATACTGAAAGGCATATTTATAGAGGTTTCTTATACGAATGCTCAAGCTGACGCTGTCTTGTTCGGGCACCTAGCCCCACGCCACCTCCTCGAGGAACTTAGTAGCTTCGCCGAGATGGTAAAAGACAGTAAGAAAAAATACGAGCGCGAAAAAGAAGAGATGCGTCTACAGAAGAGGAAAAAGCGAAAGCGAACCAGTGGTGGTGCAAACAATACACTCCAACTCGACAGCCTCACCTCAGGCGAGAACGGTCGGAAAGCAAAAATGGGTGGTTATCTGGGCGGAGTGGGCAAAGGAATTGATTCCCCAATCTCGGCGACTAACTACCATTCGCAGACTGATGACGAGGTTATGAGTGATCTTCCGCCTTCGAGAGGAGATACAGGGACGAATACTCCAATTCCCTTCCCTCCTCCACTTCAGCATCATCAGTCTTTACATTGCAACCACATACAGGAACAGGGACAGGAACATCAAAATGGCACGGCCGAACCACAGCACTCTCACCCTTCAGCCCCAGCGGCACTCGGTCTCTCATCAGTCTCAGCGGATCATAACCGCGCCATACTATCTGCTGCTTTTGACGCTCCACTCAAAGGTGTCAAAATTGTCATTATCCATGTCAAGGATTCTTTCATGGATGGGCCGTTGGTTGGGGAACAGATACTGAGAGAGTTGAGAGAGGGGGAAGAGGTTTTGCAAGAGGCTGGAAAGGGTTTGGGGTGCCAATTTGAGGTCAGTGCTGCGGGTGAGAGTTATTGGTTCTAGAGAGTGCTGATTTTGCAAACGTAAGGGTTCGATGGTGGAGTTGAAGCAAACTGGTTTGGCTTCTTAGGTACAGGCCTTGGCTTTCTTCTGGATTTTAAAATGAATAATGGGGTACGATAGGTACGGTTAGGGTGGCATTCTGAGTATATGGGTTCAAGTGAGTTGGGCTTCCAGGTGGCTGAATATTACGAAGGAGCTTGTTCCATTTAGATTGTATACTCGTGCGGCAACAGCTACCTCATAGGTATTTGCTGTACCTCATAACAGAACACTCCTGGAAGAATGCAAGTATATACCTCTAGGATATCTTCTCTAGGAAGAAAGTAAGGAATAGAGAATTATGATATGAAATTGTGTTTAACCAACGCTAGACTGACCTGTCGCATGCTCTTCCCTCTTCTGCTCTACACAAGGATTAAGAATGATCGGAGATTGTGTTGTATTGAACTCAGAGCAAAACTCGTCCAAAAGGTGCTCGTCGTGTCATAAGTTTATAGGATAAGAAAGTGAAAGGCTGTGTATACTTCGAGGCAAGTTATATCACATAGCCTATAGAAGATGAGCGCCCTCGTAGGCACTCACCTCCCTGAGGTACTTTAAGATGTCATATGACAAGACATCTTTTCCATTCTTCGTGAACACTCAATTCCCCTGCCATCCTAACCTCCATTCTATACCATACTCAACAACTCGATTGATGATCAAGAGCCCACCCTGGCGCATTAGAGTCAGCCTGATCCTCGAATGACTTGAATGTCTCTATTACGGTCTCATGGACGTACCGGTATACCAATAAACCACCATCCTGCAATCCACATCGCATTATCCATAGTATAAAACACTCCCACACATCCTGCAGCCCAAATTTCAATAGTCACACAGCTCATAATTCCTCTCGTCAGAGGTAAGAAGCGGTTACGCGCTCGTGGACGGTGCCACAGGAAGTGGGTGAGGGCATGAAGGAGAATGTTTGCCTGTTGCGGTTAGCTACCTAAGTAGGTAGCTCGCACCCGTAAGAGAGATAGTCAGTGACTCACAGGAATGAATACCGTAGTGATATAAATGATGTTAAGCTCATGTATATTGAGTCCTCCGATAGTCATAACTGCACTGAATGCATAGCCTACCACGATGCCAGTAGCAATCCAGTAATACAGCAAATGATGCCTCCAGGATGACACTCTCCCAGTCTCTACGTTTGTGTTGGGTTGCGGCATTGCAGACCCTCGACGTGCAGTCGTGTGGCGTAAGAAGGAGGGCATATTGACGTGGTGTGTAAATTAAGAAGTACACGAATGCGAAAATGTTGCAAACCCGCCAAAGTTCAGATGATGATGCGGAGTAATCACTCGGAAAAGCTAGTGACCGCATTACACCTCTTTCGAGGACTGCATCTGCATCTGATTTGCTGTTCGCTGACCAGCGGACCTTTCCGTCATCGTTTCGTCCCTGAACCGGGCTGAGTAAGAGGTTACCGTGGTACTATCTGAGTCTACTACAAGCACTTTCAATACGACATCCCCTCAACTAGAGTATAAGTTTCGTACTCACATTATTGCTGAAATTAATGCGGAGCGTGTGGCACATGATGGGACTGAAGCGCGAGTTGAGTATAAGCAGCGAGAAGTTATCTGCGCAATCAAAGACTTGTAGTTCAGCTAAGAATGTCAATTATATGTGTATTATGTAAGATCATCGCTTCGTATGCTTTGTTCATAATCATTAATCACCCTCCATGCCTCCATCATCAGCAACCTAGTATGTCGTGTCAGCCTTTCTGATCGCCTCCCAATTCGTCGCAGTTTGGCCTGATGTTGCACCAGGAACGTCGTGTTGATGATGGCCATGAATAGCAGGGTTACCATCCGTTCCGCCAATGCCAGTGCCGTAGCGCTCGGTGTTCATAGGCAAACCGGTGTGTGGCTCGGTGACCGTGTTGTTATGGTCCAGGTCGGAGACGGGATGCGCGCCGTACACACCCTTTCGAGTTTCGCTTGAAGGTATGTTAGAAATGTTTGATTGACGAGGATGGTAAATAAAACCTTACCGGTCGCCAGAGATCATACTTGGGTCACCGATCGGACCATCCACACCAATGTGTTCCTTCTTTCCTATGGAGCCATACGGATCAGTCTGGTGCTGCTGATGCTCCATAGCTTCACGCGCGGGATGGCCTTTGGGTGGGTCCTTGTGCAAGAGGTGCTTGCCCTTCCAACGTGGCGAGTCTGGGTTATCATCGCTGTAGTCCCTGGAGTGCCTGGGGCTGTAGTCTCGAGACTGGCGTGGTGAAGACTCAGGGCTAGCAGAAGACTTCTCTTTCTTGGACTTGTCACGGTGCAGAAATCCAAGAAGACCACCCTTCTTCTTCTCCTCGCCTTCGTTCTCCTTTTCAAGCTCCTTCTCGCGCTGATGTTGCCCCTTGATCAGGCGTGCCTGCTCCTTCTCATGTTCTTTAGCCAGACGATGTTCGTCCTTCTCGTGAGCTGCAACAGCCTTGTCGTGCTTGTGTACTTCTTTGTCATGCTTGTGCTGTTCCTTGTCAAGCCTGTGTTGTTCCTTCTCTTTTTCGTGAGCAATCTTCTTGAGGCGCTCTTCGGCTTCGCGCTCGTCTTGGTTCTGAGAGTTGACGTAGGCTGCGCCGCCCAACCCTGCTGCACCCACGGCGCCACCTAGAACAGCAGCGTTGCGCTTGTCGTGATTCTCATTTGTGGTATTAGCCCCCCACGGTTGAATCGTAGGGTCTTGAGCATGCGTGTTGTGTGGTGCGATGGTACCTGAGGTAGGGTATGATGCATCCGTGGCTGTCTCATGCATGGGATAAGAAGACTGCGTTGCGCCTTGAACTGGGTATGCAGGCTGATCGGAAGACGCAAAATCTTGTTTCTGACGAAGAGGAAGTTGAGTTGTGTTATCGTTATGCTTGGATCCTGCATAAGCTCCGGCTCCTAATCCAGCGGCTGCAAGGCCTGCTCCACCCAGAGCAGCGTTCCTATTGATGTGGTCGTTGGGGTCAGTGCGATTCACATTGCTTTGAGTAGTAGGGTCGTTGTAGTCGTATTGAGTCCTTGATGAGATGGGGTTGGGAGCACGTGCGCTGGTAGCGGTAGGGTCGTATCTCTGGTCTGGCATAGAAGCTTCAGGTTGTGTCATCCTGTGATCGCCATATGCATTGATAGCTTCATATGCTCGCTGTGTCATGCTCTGGTTGCCATGAATATTTGTAGCTTCGTTTGCTCCTGGCTGAGTGATATTGTGATCCCGATACGCATTTGTGGCTTCGTATGCTCCGTAACCGGCGGCGCCTGCACCTCCGACAACAGCAGCATCACGGCCATAGTGATGTCCACTTTGCTGACCAGCCTTTTCGTCAACCTTGGGATCCAGGCGGTTCAGTGTGTCTGACTGGTGCGGTCCGACTGTGGTGTGTCCCTTTTGCTTTGATGGGTCAGGTTTGACTCTTGGATCCATGATATTAGCAATGTTGCTGTCGTGCGGCCCAATCGTTCGCGAAGCAGGGTCCTCAGCCGTGGGTCCAACGTTGTGGTGTATCTGTTTAGTAGGATCTGGTTGAACCCTAGGGTCCATGATATTTGCAGCATTGCTGGAGTGAGGTCCGATAGTGTTTGAAGCTGGTCCACTGTCGGTATTGCCACGATTAGCAGCGTAGAGGCCGCCAGCAGCAGCAGCTCCGGCTCCAGCTAGACCCGCATCACGACCATAATGGTGCTCAGGGTGCCTCTCTGGAATTACGGTGGCGGCAGGTGCCTGACCAAGATTACTTGATGGCTGCTGAGCAGTTGTGTCTGAAATTGGTGCAGGAGCTCCTGTCGCGCCATAAAAGTTATCATGTCCTACAGGTTGAGCAGCTGAGGTGCCTGCGGTAGGAAGAGGCTTTGAGAAGTTTGAGATTGGTTGAGCGGCAACGACACCAGATCCAGTACTAGAAGTATAAGAGGGGCCTCCAGGAGGCACGGCAGTGCCAGCGCTAGGAGTATCATTCCGGTTGAGGGCGTGGTGCATCCCGCCGGCTGCTGCGGCACCTGTGCCAAGTACTGCAGCATCACGACCATAGTGATGCTGTGAGCCAGCTGTCTGAGACGGATCATGGGAGACTGGAGGTCCAGAGATAGTTGAGCCGGCGCTAGGGGCTGCCTCAGTCTTGGCCTGTGGATCGAACCTCTGCTCGTCGAACTTTTGCTCCTCTAGCCTGGACTTATCACCCAAAACGCGAGGGTCGAGTACTTTACTACTGTATGGGCTGGACTCCTCGTAAAGAGGCTGACTACTACCAACATCCTGGGCATCGTGCTTCTTTGAAGCTGCATGAGCGCCCAAACCCACGGCGCCAGCACCAAGGCCTCCGGCAATTGCAGCGTCGCGGCCATAGTTGTGGTCATCAGCTGATTTTGGCCGAGGCTCTTCGAGTGTTCCCGTATGTCTAAGTTCGTGAGGCTCGCTTGTAGACGTAGTGTCCACAGAAGACTGAACGTGAGATGGATCCAATGTAGACGTAGGCTCTACATTCGACAGGTTTCCACTTGGTTCGGTGGAAATGGGTTGAATGACAGGAGCGTAATTGAGGAACGTTTTCTCGTCACTCGGTGTTGCAATATATTCGCCAGGAACGTGTCTATGCGACTCAAGTCGAGGATTCAGAGGTCGCTCACTGGTGCCTGACATCCCAGGCGTGGGAGTAGTAGCGGTCGAAGAATCTGTAGTTCCAGATGGGTTGATGTCCTGAGCTCCATACCCGTGTCTCTGGGTAGACGGTGCAAGGTCAGAAGATCTCGAAGCAGCAACAGTCGCGGCAGCCAGAGCCTCGGGATGGTAATCAGATGTCGACTGGCTTGGGACATTGCCTGTCTGGGTATTCGTCGTAGCAGCAGCTGGCGGAACATCTCCATATGTAGCCTGGCGAGTCTCGAGACCTCGATCCTGAACATCTCTCTCTTCTGACCGTGACAGTGTCTTGGAGGCGCCAATGGCAGTGACAGCCGCTGCTGCTCCAGCCAGGCCTTCGCGTCCATAGTTGTCATGAACAGGGCTCTCGCTATTATGTATACCAACCTGTTTCTCTTTTGTGCCTGGCTCACGCTCGCTGATTCCCTTGCTATGAACGGGCGAAGTGTGTTCAGTCTGATGAAGAGTGGAAGCGGGATCGTCATGAGGTTTTGTAACAACACCTCCAGCGAGAGGGAAAGATCGATCAGTATCCGCAGTGTAGCTCTCCTGTCGCAGAGTGTTCTCATAAGGTTGGTGCTCTGTGGTATAAGCAGGGTTAGAGCCTAGTGGCCCACTACCAGTTATGCCGGATTCTGCACACAGTCAATATATACGCGTCAAATAGTAGATTCAATCTACGTACGAGAATGTGTCTGGCCTGGGTTTACGCCCCTTCCTTCAGTCAAGCCAGCAGTTCCAGGATCTCCACCTCCAACTACTTGGTCTTGACTCAGCTCCTGAGTAGGCTTGTGCGTCGGCATGGCAGCATGTCCCTGATTCGCTCCCGCGCCAAATCCGATTACGCCGCTCTTGATGCTCGCAACGCTCGGTTCTTGGGCATGACCATGAGGATAGGCATCAGGGCGATGTGCATCTTGCGCAGCTGTGCCTGCATTCCCAAGTGGCTGCAAAGTCGTGGCGTGGTCTCGGGTCCTGCTGGAGTCGTATTGAGCGCCAGTTGCAGCTGTACTAGTAGTTCCAATGGGTGCATCTGTACCGACCTGCGCAGGTCTTCCGTGAGCATCATGTGCGTGGAGGCCGGCTGAACCGCTTGGTTGGGCTAGCTCTGTGTATGGGGCCCCACTGGTGGTCTTGATCTCGTATATTGGCTGTCCTGTATGTCCCGCAGTTGTATTCCGACCCTCGTTTCCGGCGCTCATCTGGTCGTAGATTGGGTGTTGCTGACTGGGATTGATATTAGCACGAGTCGCAGTTGGAAGAGGGAAGCTCAAACCCGTCAGCAGTGGACGACGATGTCTGCGCATCTTGGGCGACAGTGTCATCCTTCTTGTGTCCGTGAAGGACGCTCTTGATCTTCTCCATGTTGTTGCTGATTAACTGCGATGATGCACACTGCAGCGGGAGGATGAGCTTGGAAGGCTCTAGTTGTATTCAAGGATCAGCTCAAGCGCGGTGCTAGAGTATGAGAAAGCAGGGCACAGCTCGTGAACTACACAACATGATGGCGTTTGTTGTAGCTAGGTAGCTTGACGCC